TCCACAGCCAGTGAGCCAGCCCTAAGAGTGTTTTAAAAGATAAAGAGAAAAAAGCTAAGCCCCTTTGGAGGGGCTGGAACAGACCAGTAGTTGCTAGGCAAGTTAAAGTAATTCAGTGTCCTTGCCAAACGTCTGCCATGCAAATAGGGGACTTTCAGGGAAGGGGAGTGAGATGGCGGTGCATGTTGGTTGCCATAGGAATGTTTCCCTAATTGGAACAAGACCACAGAGTGGAGAGAGCAAGGCGGCTGCATCTTTGGTTCTCTCTGCTTGGGAATGGGAGCCCCGAGTGGGCAGTGGGACGGAGATAAGCCATGGGGAGGAAGGAGGGAAACCCTAGGTTCTCTAGGCATGAGGGTGTGCTGAAGGTGGAAGGACAGCGCATCCTCTGAAATGAGGAAGCCCCAGCAGATGAGACCCTACGTGCCCTGTGAAACTGATGCTTTCTGAAGCTAAAAACAGGGAGAAGAAAGGGTAGTTAACTCAAGAAAATTACACGATGAACCCTTATGCTATTCTAAAGACCTGAGACTTGTTGGAGAAATTACACTCCAGAATGAAGTCAGGGAGAATTCCAATTAGACTCTGGCATAAGCCCAGGCTTAAATTAGATGAAGATTTAAAATTCTGAAATTTAGTGGGAAAAGATGCTTAATTTGAAGATAGATATTTTATTTGTGTAAATATTATGCTAGATTATGTCATTATTTTAATTCATAAAACAGATAATGATTAAAGAATTATTAATGAATTATGCTGCTATATTTATCGAGTTCTGTTTTATAGGGAAAAAAGCACAATTGACTAAGTTTTCTGCTGCCAGTGTCAAAGGTTAAAGAATGTCTCTGAGAAGGGCTCACTGCCCCATTAATAAGTACCTTATGCATCTGGTGGCAGCTTCCAGAATGATAGCTCAGGGCCCAAGCAGAAATAAGCAGCTTTTAACAACTGTTGAGCCTTGAATGTGCTACCTAACTTGTCTATGATTAATTGATCACCCAGTTCTTAAAATGGAGCATCTCTGGAATGCTCTGAGCATGGTTGCTGCTGTCATTGAATACAGTTTCTGCAGCTGATGTGAGATCCCAAGGTGCCTATGATGAAATGACAACTTAGTTTGTCTGTCAGTAGTGATTAGGTCAAAGGTTTTCTATGTTTTAGGTTACAATCTTAGAGGAACTTTCTTTAACTGGTAAAGTTTTACGTGTACATGAAGTATATATATGTATTTGTTATCATTTGCCATAAATTTGATTCAGTTCAGAGGGTATTTAAAATAGTTTCTTCTTTAAAATATATATGTATATATATTGGGATTATATGTAATTGTCTCTTTACTTTTTATGTAGTTTCTTTTTTTGGGTCATGTAAAAGAAGGCTAACAGAATGTGAGGGCCAGCCTGTGGCATAGTGGTTAAGTTCGGCACGCTCCACTTTGGTGGCCAGGTTCGAATCCCTGCCATGGACCTATACCACTTGTCAGCCATACTTTGGTGGTGACCCACATATAAAGTGGAGGAAGATTGGCAGAGATGTTAGCTCAGGGCTAATCTTCCTCAGGAGAAAAAGACAAACCCAATGTGATGATATTCTCAAATATTTGAATTCTAGTCATGCATAAATATGAAGAATGCCACAGGACCTGATTAGGGGTCACTGTGTTCTGTTTCAGGACTCATTCACTTGGTCAGTTTCTTTGGTCTGAAACTTCAGTGTCATTTTACTTTAGAATTGATCAGATGCTGGTTGATTGACACAAATTCAATAATCTGAGGCAAATTTGTAAACCCAATGCCAAGTCTTAATTTACTGGGAGAGTGTAATAAGAAAGACTATCTTTGGGCTCCTCAGATGGTTTAACCTTCCCTAGTATGATTTGGACAAAGGAGCCAAAATATAAACTGGCTATAATGTTCTAAAAAAAAAAAAAAAAAGACATTATTCTTATCTAGACCCTCTAGAATCTAGAGCAGCATGGTCCAATAAAAATATAATGTGAACCTCAAACGTGAGTCTTATATGTAATTTTAAATTTTCTAGTAGCCACGTAAAGTAAAAGGCGATAGGTGAAAATTTTAGTATATTTTATTTAATCCGGTATATCCAAAAACTACCATTTTAACAGTAATTAATATAGCTAGTTATCAATGAGATAGTTTACCTTCTTTCTTTTTCATATTAAGTCCTGAAATCCAGTGTGCATTTTGCACTTACAGCACATCTCAATTTGAACACTGAATTTTCACAGAAAACACACCTGTATTTAGGTTAAAATTTATATTTGAAAAAGTGGATTCACATACCCAAGTTGTTCCAAACATGCATATCACTCTTCCCATAACTGAGTGAGTGTCTATTTATAAATTTAACATTTACTTTAAAGTTAAATAAAATTTAAAATTAAATACAATTCAGTTTCTCAGCCACACTAGCCACATGTGAAGCACTCAGTAACCACATATGGCTGGCAGTGGCCCGTGTAGGGAAGGAGAACAAGTCCTCTATCCCCAGGTCTTTCTGGCTGGTCTAAGAATCAAATTGACATGAGACAGAATAACAGGAGAAAATCAGACAAAGCTGAATAACATGTATACATGGGAGAAACCCAGGAAAACTGAGTAACTCACCAGAATGGCTGGAGCCACCACCTTAAATACTATCTTCAGCTAAAGACAAAGGAGGACGTTGTGGGTAGTGGTTTGGGATGGCAGAGGAGAGGAAGACAATTTACATGGAGATGGAAATGCAAATATTTGTTAAACAAGTTTTTGCTGAGCCATATATAGGCAATGGGACCCAAGAGACGGAACTTTGATAAAAATTGGGTTGCTGGTTCCTTTCTATCACACCTATTTTACATTATGCTACAGTTATCTTATGGTATTAGCTCCTTCCTGGAACAGGCCTTCTATCTTAAATTTTTTTAGGCAGTTAGGGGGAAGGTCAAAGTTTCTTTTGGAGTCTTTTGTTCTTAAAAATAATCAAACCAAAGAGAAACATTTGGGGTGGCAAATTTTGATCCCCCACACTACCATATTAGACAGCATAGAGAGGACTGCTTTTCCCCAGCTTCCTTTCTTCATTCCCACATACTTCTTAGATTGGGAGACCTGTCTGAGGAATCTAATGGAGAGAGAATCTCACTTTATAGGCATGGAACCTCAGACAGGGAGTTGATGTTTTTAAAAGGAAATTTCCATTCAAGCTGGATTAGAACCTGCCTGGCAAGGAGTTATCTATGTGGTTGATGGTACTATCTCCACCCTTGATCCCAAACGCACCCCTCATTGTCTTTCCAATAGATAAAAATGTGCCAACATTGATAATTTGCCTCCCTCGGGTTCCTCTGGTCCTATACTCCATGCTGTCTCATTTCCATTACATCAGTGCATTTCCTGGTTATAGGCTCCCCCTTTATCTTTCTCATTGTTTCAATTTCCACATTTGGCTCTAATTTCTGTTTTAATTTCATGAAGGATTCACATGTTCAAATTCCAGTTTTGTTCTTAATTAAAGTTGTCTATATCAAGGTCAATGTGGTTGATTTATGTTAATTTGAATAAGAAAATTTTCCTCCTTTGCCCCTTGCTCTGGATTTCTAGAGTGAAACCTCAATCTCCTCTTTACCTGTGGAATTATCTTCTTTGAGTAAATCAAGGTTTTTCAATATAGTCACCTGTGGTCAGAACTGTTAACCTTAAAAGAACCTCTCTTTTCCCTAGACAGGAGAAATTAAGAAATAATTAGATAAGTAGTGAGTTGGAAAGTAAAGACTCCCCTTAACCTTTCCAGAATTTTTTGCCCTGTTCCTTGCTTAGATCTGAAACTTGTTTAGCACATAGTATAATAGTGACCCTATCACTTGGAGGTTATAAAGCACATAAGTTCATCAGTTCCTGTTGGGTACCTGCCACTTTCTGGGGACATCCCCGATGACAGTGTTGAAATTCACCCTCCATGTTCTGGAATATATAAAGGGAAAAGCACTTACAGAGGCTCTCTGGGTCTAGAGAATGGTGTGTTATCCTAAGGATGGGCTCTTGTCCAAGACAGTAACAAGTCCTGCCTTGGCAAGAAAGCTGGTTTGGAAATTAGGAAATATTTGACCTGTTGAGTCATTTTAAACTAATCTGAATAGGAATGTATATTGTGCCTCTTCCTCATTACTATCAGAATCAAGTCATTTTAAAGCCCTCTAGGGCTTTGTGGAATGAATATCAGTGACAGCTGGAAAACCTTGGATGCCAATCCCAGTCTATCAGCTGTGAGGGGTGTTTAGGGGGGCAGAATTTGCTACCTGAAAATGTGTCTCTTTGACTTGGTTATTTTTTTAGAACAAAAGACTCAGAAAGAAACTTTGATCTTCCCTCTAACTGCCTAAAAGAATTTTTTTTTTTAAAGATTTTATTTTTTCCTTTTTCTCCCCAAAGCGCCCCAGTACATAGTTGTATATTTCTCATTGTGGGTTCTTCTAGTTGTGGTATGTGGGACGCTGCCTCAGCGTGGTTTGATGAGCAGTGCCATGTCCGCGCCCAGGATTCGAACCAACGAAACACTGGGCTGCCTGCAGCGGAGCGCGCGAACTTAACCACTCAGCCACGGGGCCAGCCCCTGCCTAAAAGAATTTAAGATAGAAGGCCTGTTCCAGGAAGGAGCTAATACCATAGATAACTATAGTATAATATGAACTAGATGAAGTAGACAAGGAGGGACCTAGCAAGGCCCATTTTATCGAAGTCCTCTCCTTGTCTCATTGTCTCTGCAGGGCATGACAAACATTTGTTTACCAAACATTTGCTTTTCCATCTTCATGTGAATGCCTTCCTCTCCTTTGAATTCCAAAACCACTACCCCCAACATCCTCCTTTGTCTTTAGCTGAAGATGGTATTTAAGATGGTGGCTTCAGCCATTTTGGTGAGTTATTCAGTTTTCCTGGGTTTCTCCCATGTAAACTTTATGTTATTAAACTTGTTTGATTTTCTCCTGTTATTCTGTCTCATGTCAATTTAATTCTTAGACCAGCCAGAAGAACCTAGAAGGGTCGAGGAATATTTCTTCCTCCCCTACAGATGTGACATCAGGAAAACCATTGAATTGTTCTGGACCTTACTTCTCACCTGCCAAGTGAGAGCATTAGACTGTGTGGTCTCCAGGCCCATCTCAGTCATTGTGTGTCTTGATTGGCTAGTCTAATCCCACAGCTTCTTGGATGAAGAATTGAAGGCCTGCAAAATCATTTCCTGAGGTCACATAAGCAAGTGGAAGGCAGGTCTCTGGTTCTCACAGTTCTGTGCTTAGTCCACGCCAAGGAGCATCATCATGCATTTAGAGGCTGAGCTTGAGCCAAATGAAGACATCCAGAAGGATGACTGGTTCTCTGTTGTCCCCATAATATCATTCATTTTGTCTGCTCATATTTTGAGGTTACTGAGCAGAAGCTCTAAAACTCCTGTGTCACCTGGTTTTTGCCTCTTTCATATAACTGGTCAGTAATTCAGCTCAGACGTCTCTATGACATAAAGTTCCACAGTGACCTCTAAATGGAAGAAAAATGTATCAGTTCTTTGCTACTGAAGATTCATGATAACAAAAAAAAACAATAGCTGGAATGCAGAGTTAAATTTGTTCAAGTATTTACCATTTAAGTAACAACTTCAATGGACAAAGCAAAGTAGAACAGAGGGTGCCAGTGAGCTGCCCTAGTTGGAGTTCCCATTGTGTGCTGGAGGCCCACTTCCAGGTGTTGGAGCAGCATCACAGGTAGGAAGCTGAGCCTTTCTTTTCTCAGGGGCCTTCACACTCCTTTAGCCTGTCATTCAGTTAAAAAGCAGGGGTTCCAAGGAAAGGAGACTTGTTGGTTACCTATTCTGTAACCAGACATGCTAAGTATTTTATATATATTGGCTCATTTAATTCTATAACTGCCCTGCAAGATAGATATTATTTCCATTTTACAGATCAATGAAAGTGTTCAGCAAAGTTATATAGCTTGCCTAGGGTCACACAGTAAGTGAATATGGATTTTATTTGGCTCTAAAATCTGATGACTTTCTATTAATTCCATAATGTCTAAGAGCAGTTGACAATATGTTGACCTCAGTGATTTCATTTTGGTTCCACTGAATGTGAGAAGGACACCTGATACCCCACTGTGGATACCAAGATAAATGGACCAAATTGAAAGGCAGTTACTATATGGAGTGACTTTCATCTATAAGCAAATGTTGTTAGTCTGCCTCTCAGAGATCCTTTGAAAATATTAAAAGCAAAAATATTAAAGAATTTTTCTTGCTAATAATAGGTTTATAAACACACTCACTAATCGGCATCATTGATCAATGGCAAAAAGTATAATGAATCCTGAATCACATTTAGCTTTCGGCTATGGTGCTTGCTGCTTTTGGGGTGAATTACAAAGCTATCATTTTGGTTTTTAAGAAACTGTGTTGTTTGGACTGGTGGTTCTCAGTCTTTTATTCTTTGGGCACATGAGGGGATGGCGTTTGCATTCAATGTTCTTCCCATAGATATGACAACTGTTCTAGTTAACGAATACTGCACAGCAAACTTAGTGTCTTAAAGCAACAACCATATTTATTTTGCTCACAAATCTGCAATCTAGGCAGGGCTCAGTGGGGACAGTTCATCTCGGCTCCATTCGGCATCAGCTGGGTTGACTTGGAGGCTGGGGGCTGTAACCATGTGAAGCTCTGTCACTCACATATCTGGAACCTGGGCTGGGAGGAGTAGAACAGCTGGGCTCCTCTGGCATCTCAATTTCATTGTGGTCTCTCCAGCATGACAGCTTCAGGGTAGCCAGACTTCTGTGCCAGCTCATTGCTCTCAAAGCACATGACCCAAGAGAGAGAAAGTCAGGCGGAAACCTTATCTTTTATGACCCACCCTAGGAAATCACACAGCATCCCTACCCTGCATTCTGTTCACTGAAGCAGTGACAAAGGCCGCTCAGGCTCAATGGGAGTGGAAATAGATTCCATCTCTTGAAAGGGAAGTGGAAAGTTTCTGGAAGAGCATGTGGGACTGGAAATACTGCAGTGGCCATTTTTGGAAAATACAATCTGTTACATAGATGAGCTAGGCTACGGATTATATGCTGCTGCCCAAGCCAGATATATCTCTGGGCATTTCTCTCCCACCCAAGGGAGCATATTGGCTTGCAAGTGAAATATAATTTATTCCCCTATGATTTAACCCATCATAATTTACACTTCTCAAAAAAGTAAATCATCTGCAAAATTTTGGCACTCTATCTACTGTTAGAAACAAATTACTTGTAAAACATTAGTGGATCCGGCTAATGAGGTGGATAGTTGGGACTCTCCTCTCCCTAACTTTTCCATCATATTTGGGCTGATACATGTTTAATGTTCCTGAATTGTCATCATATTGCTGCTTTTCTACCTTGCGTGCAGAGGTAAATAGCCGAATATTTATGTGAACAGCTTTGCATAGAAACCTTTCCATTTAAAACTAAAAAGTGAAGACAATTGCACTTAAAATTGAATGTTTCCTGAAGGGGTTTGTTTTAGCATTTTACAGCACCTGCTGCCTCCTCTTTTGGAGATGAAATGATTATTCAAGACACATTTCTCAAAGTTTACCAAATTAGTATCTTCTCTGGAGCTCTAATTGTAAAATGTGGGAATCCCATGTCGTGGCACACAAAGACTTTACTTTTTGCATTAATAGAGCTAAATTTGTTCTAGACCTTTTTTAAAACTGTAAAATATTTCATCCATATAAAAGAGAATATGAAATTTATAGGTACAGTAAAGAACTAAACACATGAATAATCGTGTGTGCACCGTCCAAGTTGAGTGCATCATCACCTTCTGTACCGGCTAGAGGTCAAACCGTCCTGACTGCTGTGGTAACATCCCTTCCTTCCCTTTATAGTGTTACCATCTCATAGTAAAATCCTTCCTTCGTTTAGATCTTCGTACAGTGCTTTTCACTTCAGTTGAAAACGTTTTATATAAAAGGCTTGCGCATCTTTTGTTATTTATTCCTGGATATTTTATATTTTTGTTGCTGTGGTTAATGATGTCATTCTATCCGATTATTGCTGAATATAAACATGCATTTGATTTCTACATATTGATTTTGTAAAAATAAAATTTGTTAAATCTTACTAATTATAATTTATCTTTAGCTTCTTTGGGGATTTCAACATAAACGTTGTAAATAACAAGTTTTGTAGCTTTTTTAAAAAAATGTTTTCTGTTTCTTTTTCCCCCCATCTTCTTGCCATCTTTTGAGTTGATAATTCTTTTTTCTCGTTCCAGTTTTTTCCCCCGTTTCTGTGAAGGTTCTGTGCCTCCTTTCTATTCCCTTAGTAGCCATTCTTGCTACCTTATTGGGCATACTTCAGAAAGTTTCTGGTTAATGAGTATGTTACCACTCATGCTCCAAAATTCAAAGACTTACCTTTCCTCAACTTTCCTATTTTTCCTCCACAATTTATACATTTTTCTTACAGTTTTAAATAATATTTGCTTAATTTTACCCACGTGTTTACCAATATCTTCCTGCATTGTTACTTTCTCCTGAGGTTTCTATTTGCAGTCATTTTCCTTTTTTCTGAAGTATGTCCTTTCGAATTTCTTTTAGTGAGTCATTTTTTAGTAGCAGACTCCAGTACTATGTATCAGTGATTCAGAGATGAATAAGACACACTACCGTAGACTGTACGATTGCATCGTAAACCAAGTGCAAAATTAGAGCTCGGGACAAAGAGTTGAGAGCACAGAGGGGAGACTCAGTGTAGGGGTGTGGAGGGGCATCTCAGGAAAGACTGGACACATGTGAGATGTGATGCTACAGAGGCTATGAGTGTGTTCATGGGACATTCATCAGCTCAGCAGGCTGGAGCTTAGGCGCGGGCTGGTGCCAGATGGAGCTGGAGAGGTTAGCTAGCTAGCTAGTGGGTTGTGAAGAGCCTTAAATGACAAACTGAAGGCAACAGAGTTGGGGGAGGTTTTAAGCAGGGAGTGACAGGATTAGGTGCGTTATTTACAAGTAAAATGTGTGATGCATGGAGGACCACAACAGTCACCTGGGAGGAGACTGAGTAAACCAAGGCAAAGCAAAGGCAATGAAGAGAGGAGATGCAATTTTGAAAGACGTTGACAAGGTAAAATCTTAATCGCAGATTTAAAGCAGAGAGGATTGGAGGATGAACTCCAAGGACTCTAATTTAGAACACTGGCAAGATTAAGAGCCCCGGAGGGGGGCGTGCATGATGGGAAGTGGGGGGAAGATGCCACTGGGGAGAGAGAATGAATTTAGTTTATAACATAAACTATTTGACATGTTTTCAGAACAAATGGTGGGTTGGTTTTAAAAGAATCAACATTTGAGGTGTTAGGGATATCTCTGTGCTGAGAACTTGGCAACATTTTCTGATTCTATCTGGTTGTTCTGGTCCTTCTGTTTTCCTTCTTTCACTTTCCGAGTTAGAATATGGATCTCTGCTTCAGGATGCAAAGGGTCTATTTTCAGCAATAACTAAAATATAATTACTAGTTGGATTTCAGTTAAATTTTAGACCAGAAATTTGAAATGTAGAACTGCCTTCATTGCTCTTTGCAAAATTATTGCTACTGAGCAGTGGTTGCTGTTGGCTGGTGGGACCTCTTGTTTTGGGTCTGTTTTTGTCTTAGCATTTATTGTTCACGGGCTGGCAGATGTGACCCAGAGTGTCTAAGAGCATCTGGTAAGAGAGGAGAGAAAGGAGAAAAGGAAGACACAGGCAGAGCAAAGGAAGAGGGGAGGGAAAAAAATCCTCCATTTAATTAAAAAAGTATTTGCAGGGCTTATGCCTCCTACCTGCTGTTTTTAGCCAGCAAGATCAGATTCTCCCCTGGAGATAGCCGCCTGGCCTGTGAGCCCAGACAAGGCCTTTCTTTTCGATGCGTGAGTCATCATGGTGATTCAGTGACTGTTCTTCACTCACATGTAGTCATTGCAGTGGGCACTGCTGAGAGTTGAGAGGAGCGTCTCCCGGCCAGGGTGTGAAGTAGCCTTGACAGCAGGTGCGGTGTGTCAGCCTGAAATGTGAGCAGCTCCTTGCCTTCTACCTGGTGCCTGTGGAGTGCCCTGGACTCAGGCATGCAGAGGATCCCATCACATCCAGGCCTTTCTTGACAGAGGAGGGAGCTGGCCAGGTAGTTTGTGGGGAGGGTGGGGCCGGGGGGGTGTCGGGGATCACGTACCCTAAAATGTTCTATTTAGGGAGCTGTACTCTATCTGGCAACATCGTGATCTGAAATAATTCCTAGCCTTTTTATGTTGTTGGTGGCTGACCTATGGAATCCTGCTGTGTGGATCATGCTACTGTTAAGATCTCTGATCTTGTAGAAGCGTCTCAGGGAAAAGTGTGAAGTAAAAGTTAATTATTTCGTGCTGGCCAAAAAAGTAGGATTTGAGTTGTTAAATTACAGAGTGAGTCCTGAAATATTTGTTGTTGTCAGAAATTACAATTAGGACAAGAAGATGTATTCCAGTATCTGCATAGAGACAAGTTTATTATTGTTAACACCTGCCTCTGGACAGCATTGTAAGGCAGAAAGTGAGGGGCAGTTGGTGACATGTGTAAACGCATATAAACAATGCTGGGTGTTTTACTTAAATTATCTCGATTAAAAATTATTTAATCGATTGTGCAGTTAAGGAAACTCAGAAAAGCTCAAAAACGAAGGAAACTGTCCAAGGTCACTGAGCAGGTACATGGTGGCTACAGTTCAAACCCAGGTATAATTGGCGACAAAATCCATACCACACTGCCTCCAGACGTGTTTCAGTATTTGTTTTTTTCCCATTTGAGAGAACAGACGTGGTTTCTGTGATGAATTGGTCTCACCCAGGTGTTTTCCCTTGATAGAGACATCACCCTTCTAAGCCTGCCCCAGGTTTGAGCCTTGTATCCCCAGATGCTGTCTTCAAGTTAAAAAAGAAGGAAAAAACTGAAGAAGGGGTTCACTCCACTGAGTGAGTAGGACAACAAGCCAGCCCTACTGCATTCTTTGCTTTGTACTCTTTGTTGAATACTTGTTAGGCTAAAATATTCAAATTTCTGGCTGTCCTTATCACAAGGACAGATTACACAAGGTTCTGAGCAGCAAGATGTCAGCTGTATAAATACTGAGATTTGTTCATTATTTTTCCTAGTGATTTAAAACTGACTGAATGCCAAGGATGAGCCAAATGTCAAGCCAACAAGAAAGACAGGAACGGATAAAGGTTGTCTTGGGAGCCGGTTTCCTTGGCACCAACCTGAAATAACTTCTTGCATTCCACCAAGCTTGGGGAAAACCGTCTTTAATTCGTATGGAGTGTTCTGCTGTCTCCCAGAGAGCTTATAATCACTTGCGTGAACACCAGTATTTATAATAAGAGGGCTTGAGGACATGCATGGATAGTCTTTTATTATAGAAAGGAGCTGTGTTGTAAAAACAAAAATGTTAATACTTAGAAGTTTTGGATGTCAGTTGGAACTGAAGCTTATATCTGTGTCATGGCCACTTTCCCTGGGAATGATAGGTACTTAACCAAAAGAGTATCTTTAACATAGCTTGTCACCCACAAAATGTGTAAAATGAAAAACTAGAACCAGAAGTCTGGAGTTATGAAAAAGTAGAACAGAATGTAAGAGGATCAGTTAAGAGCAATGACCATAGGTGGCCTTTCATGGGACAGGTGTGATCCACTCTCCAGTGTAGAGTTTATCACCTTTACGAGCACCCACAAGAAGTGACTTCCTGAAAAGCCCATATTATTCTCTCTTCCTTCAAAAGAATTCTCAGGGGAATAAGGAGTAAAACAAAGAGAAGGAAGACTAAATGTAGAACAAAGATAGATTGAGGAAGATCTTTATGTATATCTGGTACAGGCAATCCAAACTTAACCAATTTGCAGGTAAATGAATTCTGGCAAAGCCCCTTAGAAATCCGTGTTCTTAAACTGCTCAGAGACCTTGGTTTTCCCATCTGTGTAATAAAGGAGATAACATAGGTGGTCTGTAATGTGTGATTTGTGACCGTAGTGGGTAGAGATAAATGAGTTGAGTTATCATTTGATGTGCTAGACATTGCAATGACTAAGGGAAAATCCATCCAAGGACAAGTAGCAAGTAGCTCATTAGAGCCTGGTCTGGTCTTTCCTGTGCGTGCACAGCTTCCAGACCACCAGAGATAAGGGAGATCTTAGCCAGCCTCTGTGGTTATTTCTTTCTTTTTTTTTTTTTTTTTTAAAGATTGGCACCTGGGCTAAGAACTGTTGCCAGTCTTTTGTTTTTTTTTTCTGCTTTATCTCCCCAACCCCGCCCCCGTGCATAGTTGTGTAGCCTCGGCCACAGAGCCAGCCCCTCTCTGGTTATTTCTTTCCTTGGATCTCCCTATTAAATTTCTGGCTCGTCTCCCATTTTGTTCTTGTCCCAAACAGTATCCAGACCTCAGGCTACCCGTAACGTTAGCCTTTCCTGATGGTTTGCCACTGAGATCATTGTTGTTTCTGTTGGTGCCTCAGGCAGGAACTTTTTATGCTCTGCTCCAAATAAAGTCGGCCCCCTGCAGCAGGGCAGTAGAACTGCCAATTCCCACAGCCTTCCCCATCTGCTGGGGCTGCAGTAGAACTTTCCAGGTAATGGAGCTGAGATGGGTGGGAGCAAGGGATAGGCGTGGCCCTTGGCTAAAATGCCACGGACTCCTGCTGTTCTTCCTGAGATGCAGTAGGTTTTCTGGAATAAATCATTCTCAATTTGTTGTATGCCTTTGGTCAATATCCAGAATCTTTAAATGGTTGTTTTCAACAAATTTGTACAGGTTTATCATTGCTTTTGGGGGAATAGATTTGCTGAGCTCCTCACTCAGTCATTCCAGAAATCCCATCTCTTCTTCATGTATTTATAAAATTTTCTTCAAAACCTATTTTACAATTCTCTGATTTCAAGTTAGTGCATGGACATGATAGTTGTAAACATCTGCGTCCCTTCAGTTATCTCCTGTGCTCCTTGCAGGTGCAGCTTACCATGACTTGGCTCTAACTCATGCTGATTTAATGCAAGCACTCAGCTATGTATATTCCCTCAGGATCTGTTGGTGACTTGGAAGATTGTATCAATAGGCACTGTCCTGTGAATGGTAGAATATCTGTGAATTTTGTAATTTAGAGGCTAGGTTGATTAGAAAGAATATTATTTGCTGGGCAACTTTTTACTTTAATAACTCTGACATATTTACAAGTTTTTTGTTTTTGAGAGAAAAGTCTGAGCAGAATATAGTTAAGGGAGGGTAAAGAGTCTGTTAAAAACATTCTCACAAAATAGAAATTAAGTAGAAAATGGATTGCTGTGGTCTCAATCTATTCCTTTCATCTGTCACCTTCCATTTTCTGGACTGCATAAGAAGTCTTGAGACTTAGTCACATTTATGTGATGAAATGAAATCTGAGCATGGGACAGCAACTTATTATAATTCATTTATTTTATTTTCTACAATCACTATATATTATACTATTAAAATTTAAAGAAATAATTTGCATATGTCAAGTGCAGCTTTCCCCTGGGCCATGTTGAGCTCCAGCTGAGCAGTAAAACAGGCTGTGCAAGCCACAGTGGACTAGGCTAGAGGCACTGGCTGTAGGGCTTCACTCCTCAAGGATCCAGCTTACCGAGTCACAGTGGTGCTGTTCAGATCTTTTATGACTATAAATTATTTAAAATAAAGGTTAGGCAAGCCCCAGTGGCCTAGAGGTTAAGTTTGGTTGCTCTGATTGATGGCCCGGGTTTGATTCCTGGGTGCAGACCTATACCACTTGTCTGTCAGTGGCCATGCTGTGATGGCAGCTCACATACAAAATAGAGGAAGATTGGCAACAGATGTTAGCTCAGGGCAAACCTTCCTCAGCAAAAAAGTAAATAAGTAAATAAAGGTTCATATCCTACCTTCTAAGGGGAGGCGTTGATATCCAGTAGAGCCTTGAAGCCAGGTAGTCTAAGCTGTTGAGGGAAGCAGGCACAGACCTCTCTACTGTTCAGGCTGGCTCCAGAGCTCTGGCACCATCAGGACCTTTGTGGCTGAAACAGGTCCACAGCCAGTGACTGGGATACTGGGAGCAGAGCCCATCCCCTGGACAGCTGAGCCTGCTGTGACTCAGAGGTAGAGGAGGACCTGAATTACAGGGTTGAACTGGAACCCACTTAGAAATCTAATGCTAAACCTCATTCATGGGAACTGGACACGTCTGACAGGGTGGTGTGAGAGAACTACAGCGAGGTAGGCAGGAGTCCATCCTGGTCACCTTAGATACCTTAGATACATCTGGGCAAGAGCAACAAAATCAACTTCAGACCCTAACTGCCCTCGGGACAGGCTGCTAATATCCAGATAAGTAATCTGGGCTGAGCCTGCTGGCAAAGGCCTTCAGAGCCTATGGCAGGGCTGAGGTGGGAGACAGGGACTGACCTATCTGGTTGTCTTCTCAATGCTCAGGAGATGTCATTGTCTTTGTTCATAGTGAGAATTGAATAATCAGTACTGCTGATTGCCACTAAGGATTATTGGTGCCGCTAAGGGTGACACTAATACCACAAGGCTGAAATAGTCTAAAGACCAGATATACCCTCTTGTTTTCATGATTATTATCGCTGGTAATAAAAAGAAGGGAACCCATGTTAGTGGATAAGACCCTGGAATGTAAGTTAAGACTTAGTGCTTGGCTCATTGAGATTAGAAGAAAAAGCATGCAGTTGGAATGCATCTTATTTTTCCACTGTCCTGGACACGGTTGGGCATGGTTTCTCAACCTTGGTACAGGGTGGTAAAGGATTATTGTGGACCAGGTAATTCTTTGTTATGGGAGAGGAGGAAGGGCATGTTGTCCTGTGCATTGTAGGATGTTTAGCAGCATCTCTGTTCTCCACTCTCTAGATGCCAGTAGTACCCCACCTTCCCAGGTGTGACAACCAAAAATATCTATGGACATTGCCAAATGTCTCCTGGCGACAAAACTATCCCCAGTTGAGACTCACTGCTGAAAGGACACAAGCCTGTGTAAAACATGGCTCTTATTCTCAAGGAATTCACAGTCCAAGTGGATGGACACCAAACATGCACGGGTAATGTGGTAAAAGTTATGTTTGGAATGGTGTACTTCTCAGCATATATAG